AGCTTATTTTATACATAATAGTTTTGTACATCTTAATCCTCACCCCTATGTTGTCACTTCTCTCTTCCCTCTCCCCACTGGTAACCACTACTTTGTTCTGTATATCTGTGAGTCTGCTTTTTTTTTATTATATTCAGTTGTTTGTTGCATTTTTTAGATTACACATATGTCACATTGTACAGTATTTGTCTTTCTCTCTCTGGCTTATATCACTTAGCATGATGCCCTCCAAGTCCAATCATGTTGCTGAAAATGGCAAAATTTCATTCTTTTTTGTAGCTGAGTAGTATTTCAGTGTGTGTGTGTGTGTGTCTGAGTGTGTGTGTGTGTATACCACTTCTTCTTTATCCATTCATCTATTGATGGACTCAGGTTATTTCCGTATCTTGGCAACTGTAAATAATGCTGCTGTGAACATAATGGTGGATTCATCTATTTTTCCTTGCTATTCTATTAGTTTTTGTCCCACATAGTTTGATGCCCTTTTGTTAGGTGCATACACATTAAGGATTGTTATGCCTTCATGGAGAATTAATGCCTTTATCTTTATGTGACGCTTTTCTTCATCCCTAATAGCTTTCTTTGATCTGAAGTCTCCACTGTCTGAAGTTAATAAAGCCGGTCTTGCTTTCTTTTGATTAAATGTTAGTATGGTTTATCATTCTCTATCCATTTACCTTTAATCTATATGTGTCTTTACATTTAAAGTGAATTTCTTGTAGACAACATATAGTTGGGTCTTCTTTTTGTCCACTCTGACTATCTCTGTCTTTTAATAGGTGGATTTAGACCTTTGATGTTCAAAGTGATTACTGATATGGTTGGATTAATATCTACCTTTTTTTTTTTTTTTACTATTTTCTATTTGTTGCCTTTGTTCTTTGTTCCTGTTTTTGTCTCCTACTCTTTTCTTCTTATTGTGGTTTTAATTGTTTGCTTTATATCATTCAGTTTTCTCTCCTTTCTTAGAATATCATTTATACATTTAAAAAACTTTTTTTAAATGGTAGCCCTGCAGTTTTTAATACACATTTGCAACTAATCCAAGTCCACTTTCTAATTACATTAAATCACTATGGGTAGCATGAGTAGCTTATAACAACAAAATAATCTTACTTCCTCCATCCTGTATCATAGCTGACAAATCATTTCACTTATACATAAGCACATATGTGTAATCAAATACTTTGATGCTATTATTATTTTGAACAAACTGTTATCTGTTAGATAAATTAAGAATAAGAAAATTTTAGGTTTTAAAATTTTACTTTCACATATTCTTTCCCCAGTGGTCTTTATGCTCCAGTGCTTTTTAGTTTAGCTCCAAGTTTTTAACCCATTTTCCTTCTCTGTAAATAACTTTATTTAACATTTCTTCAAGGCAGGTCTGCTGGGAACAAATTCCCTCAATTTCTGTTTGAGAGAGAGGGTCTTTATTTCTCCTTCACTTTTGAAAGAGAATTGGATAGGGTACAGAATTCTAGGTTGATGGAATTTCTTTATCTCAACACTTTATTTAATTTCACTCCACTGTCTTCTTGCATGCATGGTTTCTGAGGAAAAGTGAGATGTGATTCTTATGTTTGCTCTTCTGTGGATTAAGTGCTCTTTTTACTCTGGCTTCTTTCAGAATTGTGTCTTCATATTTGATTTCAGGTAATTTAAAAATGATATGCCTAGGTGTGGTTTGGTTTTGTTTGTTTGTTTTACCTTTATCCTGCTTGATGTTCTGAGTTTCCTGGATCTGTGGTTTGGTGCCTTGACATCAATCTGGAAAAATTCTTGGTCATTAGTTTTTCAAAGCTTTCTTCTATTCCTTTTTCTTTTTCTTCTCCTTCTGGTATTCCCATTAGGTATATGTTATGCCTTTTGTAGTCATGCCACAGTTCCTGAATATTCTGGGTCTTTAAAAATCTTTTTCCTGTTGGCTATCAGTTTGTGAGTTTCTACTGAGATAGTCTCAAGCTCAGAGATTCTTTTCTCAACAATGTCCTGTCTACTAGTAATCCCATCAAAGGCAGTCTTAATGTTTTTAAAATAGTGTTTTTCATTTCCAGCATTTCTTTTTGATTCTTTCTTAAAATTTCCACCTCTCTGCTCACATTGCCTGTCTGAACTGCATGCTGTCTACTTTTATCAATTACATTCCTTAGCATATTAATCATAGTTATTTTAAATTCCTGGTTTGGTAATTCCAACATTCCTGCCATATATGAGTCTGGTCCTGATGCTTGCTTTATCTCTTCGAACTATATTTTTTGTTTTTTAGTATGTCTTGTAAATTTTTCTGGATATCGAGGCATGATGTACTGGGTAAAAGGAACTATTCTAAACAGGCCTTTACTAATATGGTGGTGAGGTGTGAGGGGAACGGAAGTATTCTACAGTCTTATGATTAGGTCTCAGTCTTTTAGCAAACCTGTGCATCTGCACTGTGAACTTCAGTGCTTATCAGGTAATATTTTTCCCCTTTCAGTGAGACAGAATGGCTAGAGTGGGCTGGACTTGGGTATTTCCTTTCCCTCTAGGTCAGATAGACTCTCATAATACACCAGCAGATGAGGAATGGGCTTGTTAAGAAGAGCAGAGTGCTCTGGCTATTTGAAAAGTATTCCTTTTGCCCTACCCCTGCCAGAAAAGCAAAGGGATTTTTCTCAGATATTCACTGTGGGAACCTGGGCGGAGGTAAATATTACATTTCCATGGGGACCCACCTATGAATGGTCATAGAAATATGGACGCTAAAGGTGATTCTGATGAGGGTTCACAATGAAAAAGGAGAGCTGGAGAGAAAGCAAATGTCTTCTTTGGGAATCCATAAATAATCATGATAAAATGTTGGCAGAAATCTGGATGGTAAAGGTCGTTCTGGTGATTTCTCAGACCAAAAGGAGGAAGAAGTTATTGAGTACTAAAGGAAAGGAGATCTTTCTTATAAAGGGGCAAAAAACTTAGTCGAATTGTGGTCCACTGTTTCCTGGAAAGAGAATTTTCAAGCAATACAATTGGATATTTAGCAGAAGAGATTTCTGAGTGATGTGGCTTGGATCCTCACTGTTGCTTAGAGTAAAATTCAAGGAGAGAGAGATGAAAGCAAGCAGGAATTACTGAGAAAAAGGGAATCAGACTTGGCAATTTATTACCCAGAGATGGGCTCTAGGTCCCAGTACCCCAAAGAGACCTGGAAGCCACCTGATTTGTGCACATGCACAGAGAGGGCTGGTCATTTGTTGTCAAGCAGAGGTGGACTGATCACAGGCAGGTGGACAACACCCCCCCACCCCGGAGTCCTGCACTGAGGTCCTGGCAGGGGCTTCTGACCTCACGCCTGGACCCTTCTGTGGCCGGCTGGTCCTTGGGACTGCACACGTGACCTCCCTGAAGGATCTGCATGCCCTGAAAACACACAGTGCTACCAGGGATCCTGTGGCTTCGGGTCCTGCCTGCGGTCCCCCCCT